TTCTTAAGCATTTGGAGTAATTGAGTTGATCGATTCCATAAAACGAAAAACATTACAAAGCTTATGAAATCATCTATTGCATAAACAATAAATGAATTTGAGAAAATAACTTCTCGCCATACGGTAACGATAGCATTCATGAGAACACTGAATAAATAACAGCGATTGTGAAACGCAACGATACGAATGCATACTGCCAGAAAGATTATCACTTAAACGGTTAAACGAAACTTGCCGTACAACTTCGAACAGTAATAGGAATAAATCAAAACAGCAAGTAACCACTAGTCGAATAAACCATTAATGCAGCAGCCACTATATACAACAGTTCCGAAAAAGCGCTAATCTAAGAATCTACAAAAGTAGAACGAAACGGTACATTAACACAATAAGACAAAATAATCACATTTTACATCGCGCACAGCAATCCAATTAATATATAGAATAACTCAAGCTTGAACAAGACACAGATTCAGTACTTCCACCCACCTCAAATAGCGAGAAAATTCGAACGAACATCGTCCATCCTTAGTTATAAGATACTCGTTGATCATTGATCTAAGACTATGATAGCTTGATCATTGTATTGTTAACATACTTAATCGCTTTTGAATGATTGCAATGATCACATCTATTGATTAAGAAAGACAAAATGTAAGACGAAAACGAATTAACGTTTAAAATGATAAATAACCTAGCCAAGAAACAAATGACTGAACGAGCAACTAAAAGGATATGATCTCAATATGATAAACTTAAAAAAAANATACTTAATAATCACAATAAGTGAGTGGACGACATAATCAAACTGATAAAAACGTATATGATAAGTTCAGTTCACAGTTAACATATATGTAAGTTCATTACAATAAATACTAATGACTTACGATAGTCAAAATAAAAAGTTTAAATGAAATAACGATAGCAATAATATCAAATGATGTAAGACAAGAGAACAGTAACAATTACAATAATTTCACAGTGTACGCATTGAAACAATAATAATTTCAGTGTACTTACCAAAACAACAGCATAATAAATAAGACAAACAATGATGATAACGATCACTGTAAGAACACAGTGAAACATTATTCCCATGACAAATCAAAACACGCTGATTGATCAAATCAACTGAGAAATGCATTCACTCAACAATACGTAACCAACTGAAAAAAAGCAAATATGGCCGATTAATTATTATTATTGTTATATTATGAATAAATCGCGTTCAATCATATTATGATGCATGATGATATCTGTGTGGAAATATTGCATATTTAATCGCTCAGAACGGCCGATATTGTGAGCGATATTTCAGGATGAATGTATTACGAAGGATTGCCGACAGATGAACCCAGCCCAACTGCTCAACTAACTGAAAAAACAGAAGTTCGACTTGAAGAAACATTTTGATGCTTGAATTAAAACAACTTTAAGTGCAGACATTATCATAACAGACGCTGTTATATCGCCATCAATGTTACTATCAACCATTCCATTAAAAATACTCTCACTGACAAGGCCAGCTCGCAGCTGAATGTTTCATTCGCTCAATCGATCCCAACAAACACCACCGAAGCGATGTATACATTCAGATTGAAACAAAAACAACCACTTTTACAAACACTTGATACTGATTAAACGATGCCCGATGAAGGGCAACAAAAGGAAAAAAAACAGTATCGAAATGAGGAAACCAACCTCAATGATAGCCATATCTAGCGCTGAACAATTAATGTACGGTTTCTCTTCGGATGCTTTCCTGAGAAATTTCAACGCACGTCCATAATGAGTATGTGCTACAGCTTGTTTAGCACCCAATATCAACGCCTGAACAAAACACAAAAATTTCAAGTACAAGAATGAACTGATTGGCTGCTATTACGACATGAAGCTGTAAATGAATCTATTCGCTCTTCATCGTTCTCTTTTCAATTTCTTCAAAAGAACGGGCCATTTAACACTCCTCTTACAATCCTCCCTGAAGCTGAGAGATACTATGGATTTAACATTTCGATTTAACATTTAACAAAAGGGTAACATTTCGATTTCATGAATGACGAAGCGTTTGTTTCCAACACTAGTCTGCGCATCCTAATGAATACTTCAGCAATCCTAACGAAGGAAGATACTTTGAACAACCATAAATCAAATAAACCTTTGTATCGCTTGGTTCCAGCCATTTCATCACATCATAATATGCTATATCCAAATCTTTCAGCGTTACCTTCGGCTAAAATTCATGCACGATATCATCATATATATTCAACAAGGTGCTAATAACAATGATCATTCTTGTACCAATCAATCTTAGCAAACATAGATTGAAGAAGACATTCTGTAGCCAAAACGAACCAAATTTTGTGAAACCACTTGTTTGTCTGCATTATCGTCAACCGATGTTTCGTGTGCTGCCGCATTTACCATCGGCGCAACCGACTTCTCTAACGGCTCCGATTCTGTCAGACTCACCAATTCACCCACAACTGGTTCATCCTTCTCCTTCGCTTTCATCTCGTCAACAATCTCAAACAACCATAACTAGTAATCAAATACGAAAAGCGCTCACAGTCAGTATTCACCTTCATCAAAAGCGCTTCAATTAATCAGCTATAGATTCCAAAAATTTGCGGCAAAATGAGCTATCGACCAGATTTGCAAATGCGATCAAAATTCTATGAGCATCACATCGATAAACATAAGTATATATAAGCCATAACTTATCTCTAAACTTATCTTTATGTGATTTCATTTCTAGCTATGGTCAATTTCACTAAACAAATCAGTTAATGAAATTTTCTTGTTTCCATTCGCCTAGTACAAAGTCTATTCCAGTTCAAATACTATCACTCAGTTACAGTCTCACCTTCTATGATTCAACAACTCAAACTTGCCTTGCAGATGAAAGCAACAAACTCACAACGAAACAAAATGAACAAAACGAATAAAACAACAAACCGAAACAATTCAACAGAAAAAAACCAACTTGAAAGTCACTGACGGATGATTTCTTGGACATATCAGATGGCTGTTTTGTATCCTCTTTATTATTAGTATTATTAGTGTCCTTCGTATGATTAGCGCTATTGTTACCGCTCGCTACGGGCAATATTAAGCCGCTACGAAATGACTTCGGGATTTCTTCGGTACTTATGGCCAGATGAGCGTCTGCTAAGCAATTCGCCTTGGCCAACAATGCATCAACAATGGCTGCGCGACGACCGTCCATCTCACTGTAACAATTATATATTCAAATATCCAACGGCTTCAGAGGTTCTCTGATAGCGTCTATTAAATGACTGACACAAAGAGAATGATGTGGAAAACGACTCGAACTAATGGATGTCAAAGAGATATACATTCTCAGATCAACTGTTTTTCGCTTGACATCCTAGCATACCAGCAAAAGAATCAACAAAAAGAATAACAGCGATCATCACATTCCATCGCACTTTACCAAAAATTTAAACCCTCAAAGAATCCTGTTGGATGTGCGATGATTCCCATGGTAACAAGAACGAGGAATGATAATTTAAACGTACGCTTTAATGGCTATATCCGTCTCGTTGCATTCCTGTTTAGTGCCCAAATATTTGAGCACTTCATCCGGTTTTGTAACACTCAACACTGCATCCACCAAACTCATCAGCTGTTCACGTTTAGGTCCAGCATCCTCACTGCTATCGTTCTAAAATAAAAGCTACTGAACTATATACGATTATAACTATGCCTGCTTCAAGTTTCACATCGCTCATTCCGATATTTCCGCTAATAACACAAAAATCCTTTATCGTCATATGGTGGCGATAATGATAAGATCGCAATGAATAACGCCTATATACATACAAACACTGCCCGTGAATAATTATACACAAGCTGTTGCAACATTCAAACGAATTATACAGGAAAATGCAAAGAAGGATTCTACTGAAACTATTGATAGAATTAATTTACGCAGATTTACCCTCTCTAATCTCATCACTATAGTAGCAACTCTCAAGATGTCAAAAGACCCCAGAAAAGCCATTAAAAAACCATAATACGACAAGAAACTAGAAAATAGAGAATGTTTCACGACGAAACAGAAAACGAACCTTCTTGTCGCCAAGTCGTTTCAACTGCGCTTGCATCAGCGGCAAATGATTCGGGTACTGCGCTATCAATTTCTCGAACAGTTCATCTGCTTCGGACGGATTCTTCAACTTTGACAACCACGCAATTTGTGCGTCTCTCAATGAATCTATAAATACGCATTTGTATCAATAGCGATTGATTTGCACACATATAATCATTATTTTGGAACAAACTTTCTTTTCATTACATTAAGCAATCCTCGCATGATATAGCAGAATCCATATACAAACTCTCCAATAACTTAAACCACTTCATTTGGCAATACTGACCAAACCAACTAACCGTTCATTTCTTGTAGCGTATTCGCCGATGTTTCGTCTTTCTTTTTCGTCAGCGTAACACACGATAAAGCTTTTGGCTGTCGTCGACCCCATTCATTGAATGTATATATCACTCGATATTGCACCACACTACGAGCTAACTCCAATTTGGGTATTGTCAACATACCTTGCAGATAACAGCCAGCAGTCACGTTCTTCGGAACCCTGAAATTTTCGTCAATTTATTAAAGTTTAACGTCCAATTCGATGGCTTCCCACGACTGCTACAGCGCTTTTTTCATTTGCTCACCTACATAATTGTCCATTAAACATTTTCAAAATCTTGCGCTGAAACACCTATCACCACTACGAAAATGGAATAAAATAACAACATAAATCATTGATCAAGATTGTAAGAGCAACAAGTATTAAAAGGCTGCAAAAAAAATTTATCAACAGTCACTATATGCGATCAATCAATAAATCAATCACTTACTTGTCATCGGGGAGTTGTCCCAGGAATACGGTTAAAACTTCACCCGGTTTCATGATACGGCCATTCAATTTCTTTCCATCACCCGTTACGGCACCTAAGAATATGATAAAATCTGAGTATTCCGTTTCATTGACCGAACGGAAGTCAACAAAGAATTCCAAACAGAATAAAGGTAGTTGACAACTGTTACAAAAATATTTTCAGTACGAACAAATTCAGCATTGATTCCTTTCTCAACAATAGTGACGACCTTTCACTGAAGAAGATAGAAACAACGTCTAGACAAAATAACGAAAGATAAATGATTGTGATAACAAACTTTCAAGATTTGCGTAACATTCCAGATTGATTGGCGTTATCAATTTACTCTTAACGATCATTGTTAAGTCACGATATTTGTCCAATAAAGACTCGTCTTCGTGTCGAATTTGCACTCGAGCACGATATTCACCTTTCTCCAGTTTGAATGGATACTGCAACAGAACAACATAGAACACGTACAGAATACAACCACGAAGCTTGGCTTTAAGATCGAGTGTAAAAATTGCTGAGCTGCTCGCGGTTTAATTATATTTTTTGGATCACTACAAATAAGTTTTTTCACAGTTCCGTCATATCGTAAAATAATGATGTAGAAAAGAGCATTCACCAGACAATATGGAGGGAAGCGATAATGTAAATTAGAATTCTGCACACAAAATTAGATTTTGAACAAATGTTTATAAAATCTATTATTGAGTTTGCTTGTTTAACATTACTTCTTATTAATATTTTCCTCAATATAATGAAAAATGCTCAGTTGGAACAAAAATTAATCTCAAACTAAAATTCAGCAAAAGTAACTTTGCAAACGAACCCTTTTCGGATACGACGAACTGCTTCCAACGAATTGTTTCGTTGAAGTGAACAACATAATATGAACATCATCAAATGAATTCTCATAGAGGTAGTTGGTTAGGCCAGGCAATTCCAAAAATACTTCGGTTGCTTTCGCTACTGAAATTAAACGCATTCATCACTCCCTTACACCATCAATAAAACCATCGCTAGTAAACGATATCGCTATTATTCTCTATTCTTCTAACAAACACACAACGAGAATTTAATCAAATAAAAAACCTAAACATTAAATTCTCATTCGTAACCACTAAAGTAGTGTATCAAAATCCCAATAAAACAAATGGATTGAACGATGAATAATAGAACAAACTTGAAAATGAATAAGAGAGCAGCAATCTGAACGTCTGAGAGCCGTTATCGAACAAGTCGCGTGGTCCTAATGGCTGCAACTTAACTTCAGAAACGCGAACGGGTTGCGACAGATGTCGGAAAGTGATACCCGGTTGAATGTCCTCATAACGAATACGGCCATTTCGGATATCAAAACGATGCGCCATTTCAGAGGACATCTGAAACGAATTCACCAATGAAACCAAATCGTTATCTCTTGTAATCCTTTAAAAAAATCGAAAGTTCACAGGATCGACAAATTCTCTAAAAACAACTGAACTGTAATCGCTTTCCAAAAACAATAAGCAAGGCAATGAAAAGTTCCTCAGCTATATTAAGCAGAAAGTTCATCAAAATGAAGCAATATCAACTGCTATGCTCAATCGATTTACATAATACACGAAATGCAAAATGAGCGAACAATCAATCGAACGATGCACTCACCACATTAATTGTCCTCGGTATCGGAACTATACCATGAAATGCCAACTCGACATTAATCAACGCTTCACCCAGATTTGCCCACCATTTTGTGACACATAATTCAAGAGTTCGTCCACCCCGCAGTTTAATCGCATGTTGCAGTTCGCTGTTCGGTTCCAATGTTATTGTCTGAAATTACAAAAGTTTTTTTATAATACATGTTGACCTTACATCAGACAATTTTGCGCAATATTCAATCCAGTTCTCTCATTCGATTAATGATTCCATCATACCAGTTATCTTCTAGCGAAGTACCACGACCATCTCATTTAAATGCTAATCAAATTTTGGACAGAACGATAAAACAGCTCGATAGATAACCTTATAATATTCAGTCGATCGATATGCCAAATTTGGTAGCAGCTGAACGCAGTGAACCACATACTTCGTTTGATGCTTATCGTCTAACGATAGAACTTTTAAAGCTGAAAAAGAGAACTGTAAAAGAAAATATTTCGTTGATCCTATTCGCATACTCAAACAAAACGCTCTTTTCTCACTGCTCAAAATCATCAATACTACTGACTTGCCCAATCGGCATCATCCGGTACATGTATGAACAATCGCTCAGGCACTGCTGGTTTACACCGCAATTTTCGAGATATCGTGAACTGATTACTGCTATCAACTGTCAACGGAACTATAGTTGTTATTGGAACGCGGAATAACGGTCCCAGAGACGGGTTTCGAGAGTCGAATGCCTTTATCTGAAAAGAAACAATAGTAATCAGATAACAGTAATGATAAATTAATAACAAATTTGATATTCATCAGAACTATTGAACAATATCCATTATAATCAGAGTACCACTTCATACAAAAAAAAAAGAAATTCTACCAAAACACCTCAAAAACCTATGAATTCTCTTAGAGTTCAACGTAACCTGAAACTCACACTAATCATGATTAGTGTGACTTGAGTTCACTAAAATTCTAAACTTCACCTCACCTTGCATAAAAAATTTCACCGCAGACTCATCTTCAACCCTACACTAAAACAACACCATGTATTCCCTATTTCATCGCCTACTTCATCAGAACTTCTGTCGTTCAGCTCAGTCAAATTTGGACAACACCATTAACATCGTATTCATTGAGTGCGATTCCAAATGAATATTACTTCAGTGCTGATTATATATACCTCAGTAAAATGCGCCACAGAAGTCTCCAGTCCTGTCGGATCGATTCGTATGGCGAACTGTCGTTGCTGATGCATCAGCTCC